AAAAATGTGCTATATACAATAATTTCAGACCTTGCATAAGTAGCTGGCGATTTACAGAAAACCTCAAAGAACAATACTATGCTTGCAGAAACGAGTTACGAGCTTTAGTATAAGAGCAAAGTGTATTCGAAAATTTCATTTATATGCTACGTTTGCTACGAGATTGCCGCTTGTCGTTCCGACATCCGAGCAGAAAGAAAGCTCAACCGAAATACATCATGTTCCGACACACATATATATATATATATATACATATATATATATATATGTCATTTTATACAATACATCAATAATTTACTAAATAAAATGTATGAGAGAACAGTGTAATTAAAATAATTATCTTCATTTGTATTCATATGTAAATAATATGGTATGTTTCTTGTTTAGGAAGAAATTATTTCAACAAAATTGAAATAACTAATATCATATTTATTTTATTATTTTTGCTCTCAAAAGAAAAAACTTTGAGGGCACCAGGGCACGTTTTTTTGATATGGGCCTGAATAGGTCGATAATTCAAATCATTTCTATGGTTCAGCGACGCACTTTTCATGACAGCGCCGCTGTCGGAATATCGCGGAACTAAAATACTGCTCAGTTTCATGGCTACACGTCAATTTCACTCGTAATATACAAACGAAATTTTTGTACACGCCTTTCTCTTATACTAACACTCCTACCGCGTTTCTAAAGCATAGGATTGTTCGTTTAGGTTTTCCGCAATTCGCCAGCTACTTTTCATGAACGTGCAAGATCTGAAATGCTCTTATATGCAACACATATTGTGATGTGTTGACTACAGAAGCCGATAACAAAACTGTAAGTCTTTAATTTTCTTTCGTTTTTCGTATTCAAATGTAGCTGGCGACTTGTGTTGTTGTCGATACTTTAATTGTGGAGAAGGATTTTTCAATCCATAAACACAGTTACGAGAAAGGCGTTTTTAAAATTTAATGATAAAACAGGACACTCCAGCATCCCCTTAAAGAAGTAAATCAAAAGTTCCCGCAAATGACGCTTATTCGGCTCAAAACTCGGCATTTTCGCACAAAAAAAAATATATGATGCTGATACAAAATCGTTAGTATTTCAAGGTTATGTTGACAGATGTCCAACCTTACGATATAATGTTTTACATCAGACAATTTTAATCATAGCTTGCTAGTGGCGCTGTCTTTTATCAAACGGCGAAAACTTATTTGTACATCTAATATATATTGCAACCGCACTCACGAGCGTGGCGCAACTTCGTCGCACATTCACAGCTAAGGTTTTCGTAGGCGATCGGATGACGGGTGGCGTTAAACGAAACGTGGCAGAAATGCGTGGCAGAAATGCGTCTTCACGCGGCCGCTCTTAAGAGCATATAATCACAATATAAGTGCGAATGTATGTAACGGTTATATAATTGCGTGAAAAATTATAACATATTGATGTTACATTAATGCTAGCTGATGGGACAGATATTTTTCTTTAACTAGTATCTAATTTCCGAAATGAAAGGAAAGAAATTTCTGATGAATGGAAATGAATTTAAAAAATAAGGTATACGTTAGAGAAAAATATCTGCCCTAATTATAATTAACATAACATCAATATGTTAGAATTTTTCACGCAACTACGTAATCATTACATAGGTCCAATCACAGAAGACCGGAGCACGTAATGCAATTTGCCACTGTCTCTCTCTGAGGCTGTCTACTCTAAAGTCTAAAATAAAAATTTTTTTTTAAACTGCTAAAAAAAATGCCTCTTATTGCCAAAATTAATTGAGATATCAAAGTTGTTATACTTTGATACGTAATATGTACGTAATATTTATAATCATAAATCTAAAAATATTACTGTAGAGTTGATATATGCACACTACAATTAATCACGCCTTATCAACAAACAGTCTTACACTACTAACATGACTAAACGTGCTCATAATTAAGGCGCGTCTTCTTTTGTTCAGATATTCAGAATTTTTAAAGCGCGTCTATATATGTACGATTCGCGATTCAAAAATAGTTGTACAAGATTATATTCCTTCGAATATTCAGCATAATAATCCAATATCTTATAGAAAAATCTATTTTCTAGAGACAAAAATCACTAAACATTGTATATGTATTTATTACAGTAATTACTACGTGTGTAAAATATTTATTAATTATTAAAAAAAAAATTAGATTTTTGTTTAATTTTTCCATTTGAAAAATTAAATAAAAAAGAATAAGAAAGTTATATTCGACTATTCATCGACGCGTATATCTCTATTATCCCGAATCTCGTGGAACAATCATTAAAAAAAAAAAGATAGATATTATATAAAGGAAAAAAAGAAGTGTTGAGAAAAAAAGAAGATTACAAAAATCAAAAGCTATATATCGATACATTCATGTTACTAAAAGAGAGATTCTTTTTAGGAATTTCGACATAAAAAGGTCACGAATCATAACTATTTGCTTTATAATGTTGCATAGTTCAATAATTCACAACTTTTATTTCGCAATTTATTGAAAAAATGTATTTCAATTTTATTCAACACAATATAGGTACGCGATGTTAGGCATCCCTAAAACATGGCGCCCTCCTGTCGTGCCGTATACGCTTACCGTGTTCCGCCACTCCTGTCTGGAAAGAATGTGTCTTTTATTGCATTGACATTGCTCATCTTATAAAAATGATTACTCGATGGCCATGCTTTTCCAAAAATCAGCCTCACATAATAGATTTTTTGTACGATGTGTTGTATTATTAGCTCTTCAAATAGATGTTAAAGAATTTGAAAATCCTTTACTAGCTGTGCTGATTGTAGCTTATTCCCCCAAAATTGATGAAAATAATGATACAGATCTCTGTTTCAAATCACAAGAAAAGCTTTTGAAATTTACGACAATTGGTCTTAACCTGGGAACTAATTAATGATAATTATGGAGATGACATTCTTGCAAAAATTAATGATTTGAACTGTGATACTGATGAAAATTATGAGAATAATAACAATGTTCTATTGTTAACTTCACAAAAAATATTAAGAAGAAAATTATAATAGCAAAAGGAATTTTTAATAAATATATGTGCTTAAGGGGAAGAAGCTTGTTGAATTATCAAAATCATTCGTTTTATGGACTCATATTATGTCAAAACTTTATTGTGAAAAAAATATTGTATAAGAAATGATCATTTTATAAGATCGATGAAGTTGAGAGAGCATCTTCGGCACGCAGTGAAGAATGTTTTAAAAATATTAAAAATTACATTTTGCAAGAGAAAAAATTCATAGGATTGATAAAATTGTAGACTGGCATTTGAAAATTCTAATTGGTACTGTTAATTTGTTAGCATCGAACAAACACGCCAATAATTCACTTAAAATGATGAAATTGCTAATATGAGTCAATGCCAATGAACAATTTTCAGACATATTAGCAGAACATCGAATTTCTAAACTGTCAAATTAAATTTTAATTTAAAGAAAAGTACTGAAAGTTTATTGGATAATATTATACATATAATTCTCAAAACTCTTTATTTTCAAGTATGAATGACAATTTTATTGAAAATTCAAAAGTCAAGATAATTAGGATAAATCTGAAATATTTTCTGATAACATCAAAAATACTGTAAAAAATTTAACAAATAATATTGATATGCCAGTAAGTCTTGATTGATAAACCTAATATTAATAATATTATTGAGATCTCAAATAAAGAAGTTTCGATAGTTCGACAATTGATAAATCAATGAATTATACACAATCCGGCTGCAAAGGTGATTCTCCTAAGAACAGTGTAAATGATTCATCAATAACAGATACATCTCCCCTGTTTAAGTTAACAAAAAACGAATTTTAATCAATGAAACTGGAGAGGAATTATCATCATCGATATTCAATGATTCATATTTTGATATTAATGCATTTTTTGACATTAAGAATCCTTCAGACGAGCATATCGTAATTAAAGACTTATTACAGGATATTTCTTCAAATAATGAAAAATCTTACTTAAATAAAGTAGATGAATGGAAAGGATTACTTAATAATAAGAAGCACAAGATTGTATATTTAGAAAATTATCCTGATATTGAAAATCTTTATAAATGGTTAAAATTAATAAAAAAAATATCACTTGTGATAAATACAAGCAATACTAAACCTCCTCTCGAAATCAGTGCAGGATTATTCAAGTTCTTAAATACTTGTTCCATTGATTCGATCATTGTGTTCGAGCTGGTTATGTGGACTACTGGCTACGTATAATAAGTACGTGAATCGCACACTGCCGATGTTAAAATAATTTTATAAGAAATTACTAGTTAGTACGAGTATTGAACGATCAGTAAACTAAGTTAGCTAAATAGATAATATTACACATATCTGATATATAATATTATCTTATTAGGTGTTGGAATTAATTCGTAGCGTTTTTAATGAAAGAATGTTATTTATTTCACATGAGCATTAAAAAATACATTAATGAAAGTACTTCCCATCACTTGTAAAACGCTACGAATTAATTCCAACACCTAATAGTTGTAATCTTGTAATTGTATATAATATAATTTATTTATTTAATTTGATTATTTTTAATATTACTTATATATACTTTGATTTCTCTTTCAGTCCTTAATAAATAAAAAATGACGGGAAGAAAAAAAGATTCAATATGATGTCATTTCATTGAAGTTAAAGAAGAACACAACAAATATGTTAAAGCAAGATGTAAAAAATGCAATACAATTATCGCAGGATTGGTGGCTAGACTAAAGGCACACGTGAGGAAGTGTAGCTCTACATTAGTTAATCACATTGATATTGATGAAGATAGCGCTTCTGATCTATAATAACTGACAGCATCTGTCCTCATCGTTCTCGATCTCCATCTTTTTCAAGTAACTCAAGTTAGTACATAATATAATTACATAATGTTCTATTAGGTTGGTGCATATGAAATGTCGGATTTTCTTTACATATGAACGTTTGTCTCCCTGTTTTCGTTATGCTTTTGTTTAATCTCGTTTATAGTCGTATTGTCCATTGCCAGAGTTACATTTCAACAAAGAAGATTTTCTCAAAAGTGTTCCATTTTGATATTTGTTTTGAATTTCGTAAAGATATGAATTCAACCGATATTCATGTAATTTTTTTATATGAGTATAAACTTGGTAATAATGCTGCAAAAGCTGCATGCAATATAAACCAGGCATTTGGGGAGAATACTGTTAACGATCGAAAAGTGCAGCGTTGGTTTGAACAATTTCGGTTTGGTGATTTTTTCCTACAAAATGAACCGCGTGGAAGACCCAAAACGCCTATGAAAAATGATTCTCTGAAAGCATTGGTGGAAACGAATCCAACTGTATCTACAAGAGAATTTGCTACCAGAATGAAAGTTGACCATACAACGATATTGCGACACCTTTCTGAAATTGGCAAGGTGAAAAAAATGGATAAATGGATACCGCACGAACTAACCGAGCGAAATAAGCTGGATCGATTGAACGTATGCTCATCATTACTAACCCGATTTCATCGAGAGCCATTTTTCGATCGGATTATTACTTGTGATGAAAAATGGGTTCTTTACGACAATAGGAAAAGGTGTGCTCGGTGGCTTGAGGAATGAGGCTTGTGCTCATACTTCAAGGCCATCACTTCATCCACGGAAAATTTTAATAACAGTTTGATGGAATGTGACTGGAATAATTCATTACTCATTCCTTCGAACTGGGGAGACAATTACAGCCGAAAAGTACTGCCAGTACATTGATGAAATGCATGAAAAATTGAAAATTATACGCCCATCACTTGTTAATCGGCATGGCCCAATACTTCTCCACGACAACGCTCGGCCGCATACGTCGTACAAAACAATTGCAAAATTAAATGAATTAAAATATGAAATTTTGCAGCTTATTCATCGGATCTTTCGTCAACCGACTTTCATTTTTTTAAACATTTAGAACAGTTTTTACGGGCTAAACAGTATGAAAATGAAGACAGAAAATGAAGACTGAAAAATTCCATATCAGAGTTTATTGATTCTAAAGATTAGAATTTCTTTAAGACAGGCATCTATGTATTAAAATCTCGTTGGGAAAAGTGTATTGAAACAAATGGAGCATATTTTGATTAAATAAACAGTTTTTGAAAAAAGATATCCAGTTTTATATATTCACTTAAAAATCCGACATTTCATACGCACCAACCTAATATTTTCTAATTAAGAAAAGTTGTATAGTCAAATCAAAGAGGATCTTACAATTAAACATCTTAGTGCTTAAATATTTCTGTGTGAATTTATTTACCTATCTGATTCTGCAGACTGCGAAGTCTTTATTTTGATCGTGAAACACAGTTATGAGTAGAACCAGAGATAGTAATATCATTTATTAAATTGATAAACAATTTAATAATTTTTCATGCTAATAATTTATTAGCATTAGTAATTCTCTTAAGTAATTCTCTTCTTATTTAATTAAATTTAAGCCTTATTTAAGTCTTATTTAATTAAATTTATTTTCGTCCAAATTTTTCTCATATTGTTTATCATATATGTATATATGATATTATATATACACATGCACGCACGCGCGCACGCACACACATTCAATTTTGTATCATTAAAGCATTGAATATTGATTCTCTATACAATAATTTTTGTATTACTTTTGACTTTTCTTTGAGATAGAAAAAAACTATTGTAGTTTCATTAAATTCTCAATTAAATTTCTGTAAAGTACGAAATTTCTAAGAGTTTTCATTATTTTTTTACAGCAACCGATACAGTCGCACGTACTTTACTATCAACATCTGCAGCATCCACGCCAACACAACCTAAATCAATGGATATAGAATCATTTGTTGTTAGAACATCATTTGCAAACAAAAAAAAGTTTGATTTATAGATAGCTACATTTATTTACGTCACAAACTCGTTCTTCAGACATGTGGAATATCTCCAGAATTTATAAAATTAATAAACTTGTTGCATCCTGGCTATAAATCACCTTTAAGACAGCAAATTGCAAATTAATTATTTAAATGCTGAAGTATTTAATTCAGAATTGGTTAAAATAAAAGACTGTTTAAATGGAAAGAATGTATGGCTCAAAATGGATGGAGCAATATTCATAATGATTTTATAGTATGTATATTAGCGACAGGTATTGTTGATGAAACTGTGCATTTATATGATACTATTGATATCAAATATACAAATAATCATATTGCAGAATATTTGTTAAATTTGGCAATAACTTCAATCAAAAGTCAACAATATGGATGCAGAATTAGAAGCATTGTGACCGATAATGCAGCAAATATGCATAAAATGAGAGAAGAATTGACAAAATCAGAAGAATCTTGGTATGCCTGATATTATTACTTACGGATGCTCCGCACATATTTTAAATCTTGCGCGCGACATTGAAATTCCAGGAATTAAAAGTAACATTAAAAAAATTATGAAATATTTTCGAAACACGCACTTTGCTGCTGCTAAATATAAACAAGCAAGTAGGAAAGCTTTAGTGATGCCATAAGATGTTCAATGGAATATCTTGGTCGATTGTCTGGAATCATATATTAACAACTGGCATATTTTAAGTAAAGTTTGTACTGATAATCGAGCAGCAATAAGCTCAGATATTTCATACAAAATTCACGATATGGATTTAAAAATCAGTGCAACTAATTATTTGAAAAAACTAAAAGTAATTTCAGTCGCTTTAGATAAGGTTCAACGAGATTGCTGTACAATTAGTGAGGCTACAGAAATTTGGATCGAAATAATAAATCATTTTAAACAAAACAACTATTTGGAATCTGACCTTAATTGTGTTCTGCAGCATTTTAAAATGGCAATGACGTCTGCATTATTAAGCAAATTTGCTAGATCATCGATTTAGAGGACTTCAGTTAAGCGAAGAACAATTAGATGAAGCCATGGAATATATCAGTTTATATCGTCCTGCAGCCATGACTGATATCCTACATGCTCTTATATCTTACTGAGCAAAAACTTCTCCGTTCAAAAATTATCTTTTTTCTGAGGAAGCTATTATTAAAAACATTAAGCCAACATGATGGCTTGTGCTAAAAGATAATATCAATGTTATTACATTCGATTTGGTAATACAACTCTATACAGCAGTTGCTTCTTCTGCTGGCATAGAAAGACTGTTCTCAGCTTTTGGGTTAGTGCACACAAAACTAAGAAACAGGTTAGGAACAGGAAAAGCTTCAAAATCAGTAACAATTTTGAAGGCAAACAAAAAACTAATCTAATTGTAATTGAACATTGAATATTGACAATTAAGACTGCATAATCTGATTCTTTTTTAAAAGTTTTTGTTTATAGTTATTAGTAGAAAAAAACTATTACTGAATGTAGTTTATAATATTTATATTTCGTTAAAAGATTAACGAATTTTATTTTATTGACTATATGTTTATAAGTTTGTTTATAATCTATTACATGGGCTGAAAAGTTCCGGGATTTTTCAATAGGTGGCGCCACTAGAAAATGAACATGATTCATTTCGAGAGGTTCATCTGTTACTAATTTATATATGAAGTTTCATGACATTTCGTTCATTCATTTACAGTCGTTTAAGTGGCGTTACTTTCGCCTTCGTAAAAAAAATGGAAAAACAGGAATATCGCATCTTGATCAAACATTGTTTTTTGATGGGAAAAACTTCTGAACAATCATTGAAATGGTTGCAGAAATGTTATCCCACATCTGCTCCTTCGAGAACAACAGTTTATCGGTGGTTTAGTGAATTTAAAATGGGTCGTACAAGCACCGAAGCTCTGGAAGGCCAAAAGAGGCTACGAATGCGGAAATCGCAAAGCAAGTGCATCGAATCGTTTTGAGTGATCGTAAATTGAAGTTGCGCGAGTTAACTGAGGCCGTGGGCATCTCAAAAGAACGGGCGGGGGGCGGGATACATTTTGCACGATGTTTTGGAGATGAAAAAGCTATCGGCACGATGGGTGCCGCGTTTGCTGACCATCAACCAAAAACAGCAGCGCGTTGATGATTCAACGGCCGGTTTGGCGTTGTTGCAGCGTAATTGAGCGGACTTTTTTCGACGTTTTATGATGATTGATGAAACGTGGGTCCATTACCATACGCCTGAGTCCAATAGGCAGTCTGCAGAGTGGCTGAAAAGCCACGAAAGCCGACCAAGGCGGCCAAAAGATCAACGCTCGGCCGGGAAGGTTGTGGCCTCCGTTTTTTGGGATGCGCATGTCATAATCTTCATCGATTACCTGCAGAAGGGAAGAACAATTACGGGAGAGTATTATGCAGCGTTATTGGACAAACTGAACGACGAAATAAAAAAAAACGGTCCCATATGGCGAAGAAAAAAGTTCTGTACCATCATGATAACGCACCGTCACGAACGTCCTTGAAAGCGATGGTCAAATTGGACCAATTACGATTCGAATTGGTTGCTCACCCACCGTATTCTCCAG